CTTTTATGCTATGCAGAGATGTCAGCAGACTAACCATATTTATCTTAGCAGCCAGGGCAGGATGGTCTCAGTGCTCAACCCCTTCCCCCCCAAAAACACCAAACCCCACAAAAAACTCCAAAAAATCCACCCCAAAAAAACACAGGCTAAAAGCTAGGGGTCCTCTAAGGCAAGGAAAAAAAGCTGGGACCAGGATCATGTTATTTTTGAAGAAAAGCACTAGAGAGAGACAGTTCAAGGGAGACCTCAGGTTTGAATTTATCAAAAATTGTTTGCTGGGGGTTTTTTTAAGTTAAGAATTCTCAAAAAAGCCCCAGTAAAGTTGGTGGATTTTTCACTAGTAATCTCTTAACATTGTGGAGTGGGACTTTACCCAAGCTTAGAAGAAGTGCAAAGCAAAGGTCTAAGCTGGCAGAATGAAGACTATTTATAGATAAATGTGCCTCTGCAGTTTACATTTTGGTTTATAACTTTTCACTTCCAGGAGCATCAGAGTTTATGTGAATATGCTTTAATCCCTTGCCACACTGGTTGTGGACACATGGTGATGAGAAAGAAACTTGCAGATCATTTGGAAAATGGATGTGTTAATAATGTGACAATGTGTCAGAAGTGTAAGCGGAGCTTATCCAGTAGTGAATACCAAGTAAGATCATTTCTCTGTTTCACGTGAGGGGTTTACATTAATGGTTTAAATAATCTATCATGACGTTTTTCATCCTGATTTCATGAACGCTAGTGCGCTTGGAGAATATTTAATTTTCCTGAGTTTGCTAATTTTTCCATGCGTGTGTTGGAGGAGAAATGGGCTGTATTTGGTAGTCTGCTTGTGATGTTACAACAGGGAGGGAAATACCTGTGTGTTTATCCAGGGCTTGGGCAGCCCATGGTTTAGCTCCAGTCTCAAAGCACGTGTCCCAGTGTGAGGTAGGTAAGAAGCAGAAGAACACAGACAGTGGCAGGGAAAAGATCTTGAAAGTGGCTGGAATATTATTCAAACTAAACTTGCCCACAAATACATAAAAGAAAGGCTTTTGTCAGATAGTATTTCCATTAGATATGAACTCTCCAAATTAGCAGCGGTGTCCATATAGACCAGGAGGAGCATACTTTGAGTCTGCTGTGGATTTCTCAGTGATTATTTAAACATACTTGCTTTATATTTTTTATGTTTAAGTTGTGTTTCCCACTGTTGTGACAGGGACTTGCAAAATGTATGTGTACATATCCGGTATGTATATATACACACAGAGTAACACTAGTCTGTCCCCAGCATTTGCTCAAAATCCTCTTTAAAACAACTTTTTTTTTTCACAAGATTGTAGTTGATCATCAAACTTTTCAGTTTATGTTACTAAATCTATTGCATTCTTTCATAAAAGTAATGACTCTCACAGTCAATGCTCAAAATTGTGATAGCAGGGCAATGTTATGTGTTGCTAACTTGCAGATTTTAAGTGCCTTTATACATTAATTTTAACTTAAATAGAAGGTGCTTTTTTTTAACCCATTTTTATAGATGCAGCATAGTACAAATCCTGGGAGTGGTCTGAGGGCATAAAGTGAGCTGATAGAAACTCTTCTGTATTGCTCAAGGAGGAAACAGTGTGGTGGGGCAGATCAAAATTGATAGAAAATTATCTATTCTTATATGAATAGATTGCCAAAGATACAGCTTCGGTGGCACACTTCTTAGCCTCATGATGAAAGTGCATCTCCTGTTGTTTAGGACATTTTGTGATTAAAAACTCCTGAAGCAAAGCAATAGCAGCACGAATGAGAGATGCCCCACATCTGCTAACGCTGCTCTGTGTGTTCTGATTTGAAAGCTCTGAAAATGTTCTCATCCCAGCCCCACCTAACTGCTGACCCTGTGGGCTCCATTATCACAGAAGATGCTGGGCAACTCTCTTTTGGGTGTAGCATAATGAATATTGATCCCTCCAGATGATTTTAAGAGAATAATTGCCAGCCTTGGAGTTCTGTCCTGGAGTGGGGGGGAAGTGATGGAAGACCTCCATAGCAGGAGGGTTGTTGTGACTGTCTCAGAAATGTAGCCTGAAGTAGGAGTGGGTAGCTTTGCGTATCATAACGGTCACAAACTTACGCCTTTCCAAATACTGAGCTGTAAGATTCATTCAACATGGGGGTGACAGTCCTTCTGGCGTAAGAATAAGGCGCTCTTGATAAAACATACTTCTTGGGAAGCTTTTGCATGTGCTCTTCATAGCTT